CACTTCATTCTTGCACCTCTCCCCTCCCAGTACTTGACTGATTGCGGGACTAGGAATTTCAATACCAAATCTTTTGATATCACCGACATTTCTCCAGCAGAAGATGTATCTAATGAAGGTTCATTCGCTTCAGTAACTTTCAAGCACTCAATCACAACACATGTTTCTGTACTAAATGCAAACTTTTCTTTGTACCTTTCAACTTCTTCCTCTTTCAATTCTTGGCCTACCTCATATGAAAAAGAAGGCATAAAAGGTTTTAGCAAGCAAGCAAGGAAATCCACTATACCAGCAGGAGTTCTCTTAAGTATGGAACAGGAATTCCTATCTTCAATGTAAGAATTCCGTAATTGATTTTCTAGCAGAAGTTCAAGATACCATTCAACCCCTTCATCTTTCAACGCTGCAGCAGTTATCATAACTATGGAACATGAAAGCCTATCTTCCATATAAAGCTCGCAAAATTGGTCTGCTTGCATGCAATCATTTCCTTCACCCGAAAGAGATATGGGAATTGTTAATCCCTTCTGTTCAGACAACCTTATCGGTCTTGTTGTACTGCAGTTGACTCGTCTTGCTGTAGGAATAGAACTGACCTCTCTGCACTTAACAACTTGCTCAACAGGATACCTTGAGTTTATTTCAGAGCTAGGGTCTACTCCAAACTCAGACCGTGGACCCAAACCTTGCCCTCCATAGTAGATTCGAACAAAGCAACCCTGGTTTTCAATCTTCATCCCTCCCTGTGTCATTTCCCTAGCAATTTCAACAACCGTTATGACCTCAATGGTGTTTTCCGAGCCAGCATAAACTGCTGATGATTCCTTTTCTTTATCAGTTTGCCATTCTGATAGTAGCCTACTGTCAACCAACGCTTTACAATCTTCAAAGTAGCGACCTAACTGTTGATTTGGGATTTCCGGAACCTCAACAACTTTATCCCCAGAACCTATACACGTCATGACAGGCAGTCCAGGCACCAGTGTTGTCAAAAGCGCTCGCTTCTGCGCTTAAGAGCACAAAGCGCAGCGAGGCAGACCCCTAGCGCCTGAGTAAGGAAGAAGCGCGGAAGCCTGGGCAAGGCGCAGCATAAGCGCTAGAAGCGCACGAAGCGCGGAAGCCCTATAGGCGCGCGCCTCAGTCGCCTGAAACGGAAAAGGCTGACAGCCCTTTTTTAGTTTAAAACTTTGAAAAAAAAAACCCATATCTTAATAGTCCTCAGCCCATGAAAACAATAGGTTAAAGTAAGTCTAACCTACGTAAAACTAAGCTTAATAGTACCGTTAAAACGTAAAAACCGCTATACTCAAGCTGCTCTGCACCAGCCGGTTCTTTCAGCTCTTCTCTCTTTCCTCACTCCGTCACTCTATACTCAAGCTGCTCTACACCAGCCGATTCTTTCAGCTTCATCATCTCAAGCATACGCAGCTCTCCATCATAGCATTAAACAAGGTATATTACTGTATATAATACTCATACTGTCATAGTACTCTGCTTTTTTATTTTTTAGTATATTACTATGTATATAATACTCATACTGTCATAGTACTCTGCCTTGTAATATACATATATAGTACTCTACATTGTATATAATACTAATATACATACTAAAGTTATATGTTCTTAATTCTTATATGTTCTTAACTTTATATATCAAACTGATTCCATATGTATCACTGACTCACTGTATTTGGAAGAGAGATATATCTGATTCCATAAAGTTTATGTATCACTGACTCACTGTATCAGTTAACCAACTGATTATATATGTACAAAAGATATATATCTTAACTTTATATGTACTAATTACTAAAGATATATGTGCTAATGTACTAAAGAGTAAAGATGTATGTTCTTATTTCTTAACTTTATATATCAAACTGATTCCATATAGTAACTTTATGTATCAATTAACAAACTGATTCCATTATATATGTACTAAAGATATATGTACTCATTCCAGCTTTGATCTTTTCTAGGATATGGAAGGTGGAACAAGTTCTGTGGGTGGTGCTGAAAGTGAAAACTCTACAAAAAATGACCCAGCTTGGAAACACAACTACTTAGTTAACAAAAAAGATCCTAAATCAGTTACCTGCATTTACTGTGGAAAAGTAACTAACGGAGGGATTTACCGGGCAAAGTTTCATCAAATAGGAGGGGATAGAAATGCGAAGGCTTGCTTGAAATGTCCAGAAGATGTGAAAAAGATGCTTAGGGAATATATGCAATCCAAAAAGGATGCCAAGATCAATTATGATAAACTGCCAGAACATCCGGATTTTGATGCATTCCATGATCTGGAAGATGATGACAGTGAACTTGAGGAGCTGCAGAAAGATCCTAGAGGCAAGCTAAAAAGACCTGGTCATGTGCAGCAGACCAAAGCATCTTCAAAGAAGGGAAAACTAAAAGGTCCTATGGACTCTTTTATCTTCAACAAGCCAGAAACAGTAGTGGAGCTGCGAAAGCAAGGAAGACTGAAGCAATTGAAGATCGATGAGAAGTTGGATAAGCAAAGAAGAGAAGTAGCTATACAATATATATCAAACTGTTTTTACGAGAACGGGATTGCTTTCAATGTTGCCCGGAGCCATTCTTTTAAATGTGCTATCGAGGCAATAGGACAATATGGTCCTAATTTGAAGCCCCCTAGCTACCATGAAGTGCGGGTCACATGTTTGAAGAAAGAAGTTGCTAACCTCCAAAACATGCTAGCTGACCATAGAGCTATATGGGTCAAACATGGCTGCTCTATAATGGCAGATGGCTGGACTAGCACCACAGGTCTGTGCATTGTTAACTTCTTGGTTCATTCTTTGGCTGGTTGTGTGTTTATCAAATCTGTGGATGCCTCTTCATACTCAAAAACCGGTCCAAAGGTGCTGGAGTTATTGGATGAATTTGTTGAATATGTTGGGGAAGCAAACATTGTGCAAGTTGTTACCGATAATGGTACTAATTTTAAGTTAGGTGGTAAGTTATTAGAAATCAAGAGGCCAAAAATATATTGGACGCCGTGTGGTGCGCATTGCATTGATCTAATGCTACAGGACATTGGGAAGCTGCCTTTGGTTTCAAACACCTTGAAACGGGCTATGAGTGTGACTAACTTTATTTATAATCGAACAGGATTATTGAATTTAATGAGGAGGTATACGGGGCAGAGAAATCTAATAAGACCGGGGAAGACAAGATTCTGCACATGCTACCTAACTTTAAAGAGCATCTATAAGCAAAAAATGAATCTTCGGGCTTTGTTCTCTAAGAGTGACTGGAATTCCAGCAAGTGGGCTAAAGAGATAGGTGGGAAACAAGTTGAAAACATTATGCTAATGCCTACCTTTTGGGATAATGCATATTACATACTCAAACTTATGGGTCCTCTTGTGAAAGTTCTTCGACTCGTAGACAATGAGAAGAAGCCGGCAATGGGATACTTGTATGAAGCGATGGATAGAGCCAAAGAAGCTATAATAAAGGCTTTCAATGGAAAAGAAGAGAACTATAAAGCTACTTTCGAAATCATTGATAGAAGATGGGAAGATCAGCTCCATCATCCACTACATGCGGCTGGTCATTATCTCAATCCAGCATGTTTCTATGATGATCCTCAAGTTGAATTTAATAATGAGATCACAACTGGACTCTATGCTTGTATCGCAAAGTTAGTTCCACAACAAAGCGAGCAACTAGAGATTATTGATGAGTTGTCCAAGTATACAAGAGCTGAAGGCCTTTTTGGAATCAATTTGGCAATTTTGACAAGAAAGACTAAATCACCAGGTACTGTCAGTAGCCATAAAGTAATATATCTATAGTTTCTTCATAATATAGGCAGTAACCAGGTAATGTATGCACAATACATATTACTGCCAGTAGGCAGTAGGTACTGTCAGTAGCCATAAAGTAATATATCTATAGTTTCAGTATGTAGATATATTGGCAGTATGTCAGTAGTAGCCATATAATATAGGCAGTATACAATAGGCTTAATGTTTTCTTTTTGCACGTGAAAAATAAAAAATGCAGCTGAATGGTGGCGCTTGTATGGAAGCACAACTCCAAGCTTACAAAAGCTGGCAATGAGAGCTCTTAGCCTAACTTGTAGCTCTTCAGGCTGCGAACGCAATTGGGGCGTGTTTGAACAAGTAAGTTTTGAATTGACAACTTCTAGGAATCAAATATTAAACATTTAAAACAAGTAATGTATATTTCTTTATGTTCTAGATTCACACAAAGAGAAGGAACAGGCTAGGAATGAAGAAGCTAAATGACTTAGTATTTGTGAAGTACAATGCAACTTTAAAAGCTCGCTTTGACTCTAAAGATATCACAGATCCGATTGCTTTAGATAACATTGATGATTGCAATGAGTGGTTGGCTGGAAATGTGAATGCAAGTGCAGCAGATGACTCGGTTTTCAGTGATGATGAAGGTGATGGCTTGACGTGGGGTGCTGTGAGTAGGGCAACGGGAACAGAAGAACCAATAAGATATACTAGAAAGCACTCCAGAAATGCGAGTTCAAGTACTACTCGTAGGCTTGTGGATGGGGAAAGTGAGGGAGAAATTGAAGAGGATGTTGGGGAATACAAATCAGATAATGGAGAAGAAACTGACTCCTCTTTTAATGACGAATAGTCCTTCACAAGTTTAACGAGGGGAAATAGGCTCGGATTTCAGTGTCTTTTAGTTTTACTTTTAGTATTAAAGCCATGAATTCTAAATTTAGACTTCTGTTTTTGTGAATCATGACTTTATTTTGGTGAATCCTAGCTTTTTTGATGCATTTGGTTCAATATGATGTTACATACATCATATTTGGTATTTATAGAATAGTATATGTGACTTTATATAAGTAATGCGCTTCACCCGAGTCAGGCGAGGGCTTTTTTGCGCTTTGCGCCTCAAGCGCTGGAAGACTCCTAGCGCTTCAGGTGCGCTTTACGCCTTTGACAACCTTGCCAGGCACCAAAATCCAGCGAAATGGTTCTCACCTTGTTCCCTAATGGTTCCTCTTTCTGAGATATGGCAATATCCTTTTCTGACTGATGAATTGTGGTAGCATCAAGTATAATGTGTGATGATATTCCGTTCTCTATGGCTTTATGGACTACTGCATCTCTCTCTTCGCTATTAATCCCATTAATAGCAGCAGTATTTGAGGTAGCTTGATGCTCATCTACTTGTACTGTGGCAGTAGTATTTGAATCATCAGCCAATTCATATTCCAACCATGCTTGATATACACACCATTGTACACACCTTATACACACCATGTTTGTGAAGCTTTTTTTTGTCTGTGAATTCAGTTCACAGACAATATTTTGTTTGTGCAAAACATTGTCTATGAATCGATGTTCATCGACAAAAAGAAAAGCTTTCACAGACACAGTGAGAAAGCTTATCGTGGGAAATTTTCTCCTCTGCAAGAGAAAAAAAAGTGAGAAATACGAAAACAAAACAGAGGTAGATGCAAGTAGAAACTATACAAACTAGACTAAAAAGATGATACAGTACAAAAGAATAACAAAAGAAGAGATCCTCTTTTAGATTAAATAAATACCTTTCTGATGTCTCTGCTTGTTATGCTTCTTTTTATTCTTCTTTTCGAATGGTGCAGTCTGATAAAAAATGAAAAATTCGAAGGATAAACTGATTGCTATTTGTAAAGCATGTGCGACACTCTACTAATATGATTTGGGAAAAAGACATAAAATAGGAGTAAAACATGCTGATGACCGGGACTTAAATAGGAATCCAAGTTTATTAACTGAGTAAAGTTTTAGTGAGGGACAAAAATACTCTCACGTCTCACGCACGAGCGACACAACAGGCTACCTAGGATCGTGTAGAAATTACTTAGGAAATGGATTTACTCGCTGCGTCAAACTTATTAGGATGCCAAGGAGCTTCATCAGATTTATTTGGAAGCCTAGACATCTACTATAAGAGTTCCGACCATGAACCGCACCCATTGCAAATAGTTGTGCAGCTTCCCTCTCTGGAGAAGATCACCGCCACAATCTTTGCAGGTGCTGGATTTTAATTTCTCTAAATAACTCTGGAATTGATCAAGATCGAATTGTTCACCGGGGCGGGCGGCCTTGAGGGCAGGAGCGCCCCCTATAGGCCCAAGAAAAAATGGAAAACATTTAGGTCTATTATGGGTGTGATTAAGTTGATTTTTCACTCCTAAACTAATAATATGTGGACGAGATTTCGAGTGAATTTGTTTGATATAAATTTATGAGCATATTTTATATGAAGTCTATATTATGTCAAAAAAAATTAATATAAAAGTCAGTTAAATAAATTATTAATAAAGACTGCGCTTTTTATTCATATTTTGGCAAAGTGTTTTTCAATAATTTATTTGATCGATTTCCAAACTGAGATTTTATAGACATAATCTACACTTGATTAAAAATGTGCTCACAAATTTACGAAAAAAATCCACTTGGAAGTTGATTAATCTGATATAATTTCTTAATTAGTTTATTAATTGATTTCGTTCATAGTTGATTGTTTGATATTTTAATTGTTAGTTGTTATCTATTGAGTGTTGATGTTATAATTTGTTAATTTTTTATTATAATTAAATTTATAAATTTAATTAATTTCAATGTGTAATAAAAAGAGGGGATGATTACGGAAAGTGACGCTAATTAAAAAAGGTTCAATGAAAAAGTTTGTTTGTGTAAAGAACTAAAATTTTAAATTTCCTACTCTAGTTGAATAAACAGAGAAGGAGAATGATTTAGTTATCGGAAATGAAACGATTCAGAATCATCACATCATGAGAGGGTGAATTTATGAGTTGATAACAATTGAGTTAATTACTTAACTAAAACTAAAACATTGGTATAGTGCACAAATAGGAGCATCATTGTTTTCTTTTTGAATAAGAGCCGCTAATACTATAAATCCTATAATATTATTGGTTTACACAGAAGAGAGTTTTTCAATTTTTTATACATGTCTTGAAATAATAATAATATTATTATTACAATTATTATTACTGTCATCATTGTTATATTATGCATGTTAGTTTAGACAGAAAAAGATTTTACAATTTTTTAAAGTTAAGCGCATTTTAATTTTCCGCCCTAGTCCTTCAAACATATAGGACTTGCCCTAATTGTTCATTGTCTTGTTTGAGAACTTGTCCCGATAGAAATGCTTCCATAGTGAAACGTTGAGGAGCTCAATATGCGAGGGAGCGATGGATAGGAGGATAAGGCCAAAGAAGATGAGGACATGCCGGTGTTCTGTGTTTTGGAGTGATAAACCCCCTTGAAGAAGGACATGCTCACGCAATGGATGATGACTAATTACGAGAGTATATTAATACTTGTACAATTGTATCAATGACTAATTTATTAATCCACGTCTTCACATTAGATTTTAAATATTTAACAATTGTTAAAACAATGGCACATTTTATAAAAATGTCTCATTGTTAAAAACAATGACAATATTGTCAAACAATGTCATATTGAACTTGTTTGGTGACCCTATTGTTTGAATACTACTACAACAACAACATCCAAGCCTTAGTCCCAAAAGATATTGGGGTCGGCTAACATGAATCGATACATGATGTCGACCCTATTGTTCGAATAATATTGAAAAAAGTCATCATGTCAAACATTATTATTATAATCATTGATATAACAAATAAAAATTAATATATTCTACAGTGTCAAAATGTAGGGGGGGAATGTCGCAAAATGTCACAATGTGCTATAAGTAAGGACAATGTCAATGGCTCTCCTAACAATATCATTACCAAAATGCAAGAAAATATTACCACATTAAAAATGAAACAATGTCAAATATTATTATTATAAAACATTTGTCACAACAAATAATATTATTATATGGCAATTACGGTCAAAATGTAAGAAAAATCTCTTAGTGTCAATGACACTATAATAATGAAAATGTTATTGGCGGTTCCATGACTATCATGACAATGTCAATGTTATAAAAATCATATAACAACAACATTCAAGGTTGGGTCCCAAAATAAATTGAGATTGGCTAACATGAATCAATAAATGAATCAGATGTAAAAAGAAAAAAAAAGATGAGAAAGAAAACAAGATAAGATATGATTAAAAAATAGAGATAAAATAAGAAGGTTCGAAATTGTGTATGGCGTAGTCGTGGCATTTTTTTAAATATTGCATATTGCGTAAGCCTCATTGCGCAACGAGGCGTATGCTTGAGGCGTAATATATATATATATATAGGATGCGGTTCCGGTGAGAACACTCATTAACGTGAGAAATGAAAACACTCCAAAACGATGCACTTTATCCTTCACAAAACTGCACATTTATAGTTAAAGTAATGCAAATTTCTAATGTGCACATTTACGTTTAAAATTTTGCACAGACGAAATGCACATTTTCCAATTTTTTATATGCACGTTTCTGTTTTACATGATGCACAATGCTCAAATCCAACGCTTCAGAATCATTCTCATTTCTCTCCTAAGATGGTATTCTCATTTGATCCTTACCCTATAATATATATAAACATAATAAAAAATAAACATATTTGTCAAAAGTCGTCAAATGTTATATTGAAACAAACCATAAGAGACCATAGTCCTAGCAAAGTAATATGTTCAAACTTCAAAGAACCATAGAATACCAAAACTTTCAGAATCGTTTATAAAAAAAATCTCAGATATGAGAATTTAAATTAATTAGATTGATCGACCGAAAAAATCCAATCAATTACTAGTGGTTTGAAAATAGGGATCATAACATCAATTATAAAAATTTAAAATTGGGCCGGGTGGGTCCAAATAATACCGTACACCCTGACCTTCTCCTATTGCGTACGCCTCAGAGCGCCTTATTGTGTACGTCTCAGTGCAATATTGCGTACGCAACACTCCCAACGCCATATGCAATGCCTTTTATGCCATAGTCTAGGAAATAGCTGAGGCGAGCCATGAGGCGCAATTGCATTGCGCAATTACAAACAATGTGACAATTTTTGAATATATGAAATTATTTTCAATAGGATTTTTATAGTGTCGAGGATTGATTTCTTTTATATATTATTGGCAACATTTTATATTTTCATTCTTTTATCTTGTTATATTTTTAATGTTCTTTATCCCTTTCATTATATATATTATATATATATATATTATTTTTTATCCTTTATCTTATCATTTTTATCTGTATCTTATTTAAAATATATATATATATAATAAACAAGATATAACAAGATAAAAGAATGAAAAGATAAAATGTCGCCAATAATATATAAAAGAGATCAATCCTCGATACTATAAAAATCCTATTGAAAATAATTTCATATATTCAGAAATTGTCACATTGTCAAGGAATATCACAATGTCAAGAAAAATGTTGCCAAATTAACCGCGTCAATGCTATAAAAAAGTCATAGTAATAATTACAATGTCAATAACAATGTCCTCATGACAATGTTAATGTCAAGAAAATATCACAACGTCAAAAAATGTAACAATATCAGACACTGGCATTATAAACATTCTCAAAACAAAAAATGTCACAAAATTTTAAACATTGTCAAAATGTAGAAAAATGTCACATTATTGGGAAAATGTCACTATGTCAAAAAATGTTACAATGTTGAACATTGTCATTATAAGCTTTGCTAAAATAAATAATGTTAAATGCCAATGTCAAAACAAACATTATCAAAATGTAGGAGAATATATCACAATATCAAAAAATGTTACAAAATGAAATAATGATGATGTCAATGCAAACTATAAAAACTGAGAGCCTGTTTGGTAATATCCAAATCTAACTCCACTGGCTAGTTCTATTGAAATTTATGAAAATCTGGCTAAAGTGGACGGATTGGCAGATTTTGATGATTTGGAAAAAAAAAATTAAAATATATTTTATTAATTAAATAAAGAAAAATATATATGAAAATATAGCAAAAATTATCCTCCAGAGTAACTTCTGCCAATACAGCAAGAAAAGTAACTTCAAAATTACTTTTTCTTATTATTACACAATCCAACGCGGAAAATTAAAAGTAACGTGTTTGTTGAAAAAGTCGGCTGATAAGCCTGATAATTCGAAAAACAATGTCATCAAATGGGCTTTGAAATTGCAAAATTGACAAGGACATTGTCGTGACAATGTCGATGCTAAAATTATCATAAATTTGAAACATTAATATTATACCAATGTCAATAAGCATAATATTTGGGTGGTAACCACTAACCACCGACAATGTTGAAATACATACACCATTTAAAACCGGAGTAGAGGGCTAGTTGATAATTAAACTTCTATCTCACGAGTGGGTGAGCTTCTAAGGGTGTTTTTACTTGGATTGAAATTTTTTGTTTTGATCTGATCTAGTCTGTCTGGTCTGAATTGGTCTGGACTGGTAATATCTAGTTTATGTGTATTTTACAATTATTTGAATCTGGTCTGATCTAGTATGATCTGAGACTGAAAGCAGTCCAAGTAAAAACATCCTAAGTCAGTAGTTGATAAACTTCTATTATCTCATCAATACGGAGTATATTTTTTCTATTCTCGAGGCCCTGGTTTTACTTCGAAACTTCCTTTCACGATCAACCTCAAATCTTTCCCTTCCACAAATTAAGGTGCAAACGAGCCGAGCCTAGCTCGAAAGTGAGTATGCTTGAGTTTGAGTTTGATAAGAATTAACGAGCTTGAGTTTGAGTTTAGACGAGTTAAACTGTTTGGGCTCAAACTCGAGCTCAAGTTGAGCTCGGTTCGAGCTCGGGTCAAGTTTTGCAAATTAATTTTTAAATATTTGAGTTCAAATAAGATGCTCAAACTTGAGCTCTATGCAAAGTAAAAATAGAATTTCTATTTTCTAAATTATTAATATTACATTTATACTGCAAAAAAATTAATAATATGATATTTGTACTTAATCGTTCTGATTTTTTAGTTCCTCTCTCCTTTACCGATATTTGTAATTATAACTATTATAATATACATATTCCAAATATTCCTAAATTAACGAGCCTAAAATTAACTACTCTCTTCGTCCCATAAGGTCAACTTAAATTAAGGTGCAAACTGCAAACTTTATTAATCTTTTACTTTAAATATCGAATTTTCAACAAACTTACATTTTTTTATCAGGCTTTGTAGCGGTTTTAATGTAGATTCTGAATATGTAAATTTTAATTACTAAAAATAATCAGAGTGTGAACAGAGGTTAAGTTATTTATCGTCAGTCAAGCATCGTAAACCACAATTGGAACCTCCTAATGGCACAGAGGGAGTATTATACTATTATTGAATATGAAATAGTCCTAAATTAGAATACATATTCCAAATATATTATATACGGAGTATGTAATAATTATACTCCCTCTGACCTCCCTATTTAAAAGTTCCATACACTTTCCTTTTTGTGCTGTATTTAAAAGTTCCCTACACTTCCATTTTTGGTAAGTTTACCCTTTATACAATACTCAACTACTCTTAATATATAGAGTACTCTTCCGATCAGGAATTCCTGACTTAAACCGCCATCCGAACGGCGGCGTTTAAATAAATTTTACACACAATGGTTCACGAGCCACGAGTCTAAAATAAATAGGTTTGAATTGAGGCTGCTAAATATTCAAGCCGAACTGAACTCAAATCAAGCATGAATATGATCGAACTCGAGTCAAGTTCTCCAAGAGCGACCCACAAAGCGAAGGGCTTGACTTATTTACCCCGAACAAAACCCCCAAATCTGGGTTAGATTTTGACACTCTTGACAGAGTTGTGGTACCAGCAGCTGAAAGAAAAGGGGAAAGCAAACAAAGGCATCACAATCCGGAAGAATTTGAAGAAGAGGGACGGGGTTGGTGTCTTGTTTCATCCCCAGGTGCGGACTCGATCGGTACCATCCATCGGCAATAGTAATTCAGATTTGCCAAGCCCGCCACTGCCCAGTCGGCTAAGCTGACAAGGCTAGGTCAGAGAAGATCAACTCTCCGTGCATGGAGACTAGTATACTGGTGGTGAAGTGCAAGGGATTTTCCCACACTATTCTCTCTCGTCAATTATAGCGCGGAGGAAGGGGTAATTTAGGGAGCACGGAAAAACATACTTCTACTACTACAGAGAATATCATTTTTCAAGTAAAGCTTTTTACACATGACTGAGTCGTAAGTCTTTCAAGAATGAAGCTGAGAACGGTGGGGGATGTTTTATATGAGGAAAACCTAATTCCAAGAAATTTCAAGCTTACTGGGATGACTATAAAAGCAATCAGATGTTTAAGACCACAAAACAGACTGAAATTGAACACAGATGCGACCTATGTACCTCATAAATCAGGTGGCGGTGCAATTTTAAGAAATCAAGCTGGAGAGATGGTTGCTGCGACTTCATTTCCTTTGTCAGCTTCGTCAAGCTTGGAGGCAGAGTTACTCTCCATAATTGAAGCTACTCGATGGGCATTAAAGGCAGGCTATACGAATTTTCAGGTGGAAACGGATGCGGAGATGGCGTTGGCTTGTATTGCGAAGGAAGGGGAAGGAAGATGGACGGGCATTATTCAGGTAATGCTATACACATCAAACACGAAAGGGTATGTTTCGAACATACCTGGAGAACGAAACTGGACTGCGCATCATTTGCTTCATCATCAACGGCCCAAATCAGATATTTTACAAAGCCTGTGGATCTACCGATTGAGGCCAGACGGGGCCTATTACATGATCTTTTTGGTATACCTTCTCTTAGATGTATCTAAAGTTTAGGAAGGTATACCTTCTCAATTTGTAATATTTTTAAATATTAATAAAATTTGGCAAGAGTTCCCCGGCGTTTGCTCCACTGATTTTGTTGGTATTCCTTCCGGGTTAAAAAAAATAAAAAAAAAATATTTAAAACTTATTTAGGTATATTAGCTAACTAGCTTCTACTCCTATTTGGAACAATTTCTCAGCTTATACCTTCGCCAATAGATACAGATAAATTACGCTTCAGTCGGACGCTAAACAACGCCCCGTGATCCCACCCCTTGTTAAGCCCTGTTAAGATTATATAAAATTAATCAAGTCAAAGTGTGATGCATGATGAAGTCATTTTTACAGGTAAAAGCATATTGCAAATTATTGAATAAATATTAAACAATTAACATGAAAAAATAGCTAAAAGATATATAGTCATACATTGACCTTTACAATACATAGACAATGATCTTTTTAGTGCGGTGGCCATGAGGATGCCATGAACCATGGCTAGAATGTGAGGTGAGCAACTGCAAATTATGGATTAATAATGAAAGATTGAACAAAAAAACCAAAATAATGATGAGTACAAGCTGATCAAGCCAAGCCAAGCTAAGGTTAGAAATTAAAATATACAAACAAATACTTCCTCCGTTCTTTTTTAATTGCAACAGTCCACTTTTTACGTTTGTCAACGTACAACTTTGACCGTTCATATCTTTCATTCTTTATTAGTAAAAAATTTAAAAAAATCATATTTTGAAAATTTAAAATGAGAAGAATTTAACAATATTTTTTAAAAATTTAATTTATAATACATTAATAAATACTCCCTTTGTTTATATTTGTTTGACATAGTTTGACTTCTCTAATATTAAGGAAAATATTTACTGAGGGGTAAACTTTACTGTTTGGACAATGTTTGGACACTGTTTAACGCTATTTGGACACTGTTTGGCATTGTTTGGACACTGTTTTGTTTACCAAATGAGAAATGTGGCATTCATTTTGAAACGTCCAAAAAAAGAAAGTGTCAAACAAATGGAAACGGAGGGACTAAAATATAATCAAAGTAGAATATGTGAATAGTGTAAAAAGTCCAACGTTGCAATTAAAAGAGAACGGATATAGTACCACGTGTATTGTATGCATACTGCTTGTGGGACCGGAATGTAAAACTACATACGTAGTACATAAATTCGCTGGGAGTCTAGGACAAAGAGCTAATGAAAACCTGGATGTCGAGGTAGGGCAGCGCCGGCAGCAAGAAATGTCCGGAAACCTTAAAATATGGCGCACGCGGGAGGAGTGACTGTCGAAATCTAACGGGTAAAAGTGTAAAACAAGGGTGGGGAGAGAAACAAATATTGGTTCTATTTTCCTAACTAATGTGACGTATTTTCTTATATACGAGTAACTAAACTCTTACATCATCAAATAAGTAATTAAACTTAATTAGCTTTACCTCACTCTATTACCTCATTTAGTTTTTTATCTATTTTTTTACCAAGTTGCTTCTATTTAATACACAAGTACTTCGTATATCATATCTCACATGAGGTTTAATTGAAGTTAAAATACATTATTTCTTTTTAATATATAAATGTGCATTAATCTTTGAAATTTACACACACCCATATATATAGTCGATCATACGGAGTATATAGATAGACTAGTTTTCGCAACGCGCAACGCGCGATGGAGATTGTGCCCAATGTGTTTTTATAATAGGGATAATGGCCAATGTGTAAGAAGGGGTGCTTGGGATATATGCTAGGGGAAAATGATAATGCTTGTGTGGCAGTGTGTGTACAACATGCATTCCCTTTTGAAATAACATTGAAATAGAACTCCTAAATAGAATAATGAAAATTTCATGATTGCATTATTAGTGTGTAATTTATTAAAAAAAGAAGAAATAGACATAATATTGTATCATGGAAACAAGCTTAGTAGTGTATCATGGGAAAATTAATTTATGGTTGCAGGAGCGATAACATTAAAAAATCAAAATGGAACATAGTACTGCAAAAATGAATGTATTTGAATGTAATAACACAGTTTGGTGAGTCGTGGAATGGTTTGGATGGTTGTGTACTCTCCGTCACACTGTTTTGATGCGTTTAATTGGAGGACTTGAAGTGCTTGTGCTTTCACTGGGTGCAGTGTGATTGGCAGCATTCATGGTAGTCAATGGCGCAGAATGGCGCGCGCGCCATGCGCCATGAGGCGCGAAATCCCAGATGCGCTATGAAAAGGGCTGGTGGCGAGGTGTATACACATGGCGTCGCCATTCCTGCGCCTTCACCATTCCTGCGCCTTAGCCATGGCGACGCGAATGCTTTTTTAAAAAATGGGTCCGTTTTTGAGCTGTAAGTTGTTTAGGTTTGGGCCATAACAATCTATTTTAGCCCATAACAACAATAAAACTCTAACAAAACTTACTATTTTAGCCCATAATACTAACAACAACCCTAACTAAAAATAAATAAACACAACAAAGTGAACACGTGATGAGAAGTTAAAGCTACTGCGACAACAAAAAAGCTCTGCGACAACCGAGAAAGGCAAACGACAAAGGGGACGGACTGTCGTTGACTTCTTCCAACTACATAAGGTACTACAACCTCTTTAATGCTGTGTATTAATGAATAAAAGTTCAGTTTATAAGTTACAGTTTATCCAAAACTTTATATGAGTTATAGGATTTGTAAAATGAAGTTTTTACTTTAATACTTATAGGAGTTATAGCATTGAAAAATGAAGTTTTTACTTTAGAACTCAAAGTATTTAAACTGATAAATTGATACACTTTTATAAGTTAATTTAGACTGTTTATGAAAGTCTAAACTTTACTGTGAATGGTCTAAACTTAAATGTGCATGGTTTAACTAAAACAGAGACTTTCTATGGTATATAATTTATGTAAAGTTTAAACTTAAAGATAAAGTGTTTATGAATGTGTTTAAAGTTTAAACTTTATATTTTGTGTTTAAAGTTTAAACTGAACTTTACAGTAGTTGATGCTCATTGAAATTTTTACAGTAGTTGATGCTCATTGATCATTTTTATTTTAATTTACTTTACATGATGCTCATTGAATTTTTTTTCTTAATTGTTATTATAAAGGTAACCGAAGAGGCAGAGCAAAGGAGGTCTGTTGCCTTTGCTAAGGAGCTCTGTCAGAAAGTGAAAGAAAACAACAACAATGAATTGCGCTGCAACTACTGTGGGCACGTGACGAAAGGTGGAATTACAAGGTTTAAACAACACTTGACCGGGAAGCACCGCAACACAAGACAGTGTGAACGCATTCCCGCTGATAAGAAGGCTGAACTGCAGGCGTTAGTCTTGAAAGAATCTGCTGCTAACTTAGAAAAAAATGTGTGTGAACAAACCTTTCGAAGTACATACACAGTACAGCAGTCTGGTGGGTCAAGTGCAAATAGGGTGATTGGAGATGAATCAGATGATGATGTTGAGATAACTGGTTCTCAGTCAAATGCAGAGGGAGGTGGTGTGACTGGGCCTATGGATAATTTCGTATACCCAACAAAAAAATGTAAGAAGGAGGCATTGACGCAAACAACAATCCCATCACACATGAAGAAAAAAGAGAGGGATGAGTATGCTCAAAGCCTTTGTTTGTGGATGTACAGGAACTGCATCGCCTTTAATGTAGCTCGTGACCCTTTGTGGAAAGAAACACTAGAAAAGATTGGCAGGTTTGGAGCTGGGTTTAAAGCACCAACGTATCATGAAGTGAGAGAGACGTTCTTGCGAAAAGAGGTCGCAAAAACAGATCTTGTGGTTAGTGAGCACAAAAAATTATGGGAATTAGATGGCTGCACTATTATGTCAGATGGGTGGCAGGATAAACGGCATAGAACTCTAGTGAACTTTTGCGTGAATTCTAGCAAAGGGACGGTGTTTATGAAAGCCGTAGATGCTTCATCTTACAAGAAGACCGGGGAAGCACTTTTCAAGCTTTTCGATGAGTGGATAAAAGAAATAGGTCCTCAATGTGTCATACAAGTTGTAACCGACAATGCTAAAAATTATGGATTAGCGAAGAGGAAGATAGAACAAAGATATCCACATATCTTCACGACGGGGTGTGCAACTCATTGTCTTGACCTTGTTCTAGAAGACTTTTCAAAGAAGATGCCGATAGTTAGAAGAACTGTGAAGACGGCACAAGGGATTACTACCTACATCTACAGCCATACCCTTATTCATGACTTAATGAAAGAATTTACCAAGGGTAGAGAGTTAGTTAGACCAGCTGCCACACGGTTTGCCACTAACTTTCTGACTCTTCAAAGTCTTCTCACGCAGAAACAGGCATTGAGGCAGATGTTTGCTTCACCGAAATGGTATCAAAGTGAGTTTGCAAAAACTACGGAAGGTCAATCTTGTTTTGAGTCAATTTATCGTCAAAGCTTTTGGAGGAGTGTTGCCTATGTTATGAAGATTTCATTGCCAGTAGTGAAGGTATTGAGAATTACGGATGGAGAGTTGCCTGCAATGGGCTTTATTTATGAGGCTATGGAGAGAGCAAAATTGGGAATAAAAAACACATTGGGAGGTAAAGAAGAGAAATACATGCCTCTTTGGAAGATAATAGATAAGCGTTGGAATGAGAACCTGCATTCTCCATTACATGCAGCGGGGTATTATCTCAATCCTCAATTCTTCTACCCTAATTCACGGCGAATCCTCGGAGATGAAGAAGTATGCGATGGCTTTATAAAGTGTGTGGAGAAGATGTTGCCCACTAGCATTGGAGAGAGTGTAGAGTTCTCAACTGAGATATCAAACTATACAAATGGTAGAGGAAGTTTCAGAACTAAAATGGCAATGAACAATAGGGACAAACAACCACCGGGTATGCAAACTGTAATCTGTCTTCTCTTTCTTATTTAAGTATTTTAATTAACTTTCTGCTAGAACTAATTTTGTAGGTTTATAGATACTGGATTTAAACTTTTTGGAAACTGGAAAGTCCTAAACTGCAACCTACTATCCTACAACCTACTGTCTGGATAATGGAATCTGAAAAGCTTAAATCTGAATATTTTAAGCATGAATGTATGATTACTTGATCAGTAAATTATTTTAAGTACCAAATGTGAGTGACTAAGTGTTAAATGATGGCTAGCAGTTGTTGTAGCCTGTAATTGACTGCAAGATTGGAATGGAAAGCTGAAATTTTAAATCCTGAAATCTGAGTATTGTTTTCTACATTATTAATTAGCATTTGGTTGGAATTTTTAAATATAGTTGACTGGTGGCTTTCAAATGGCTCCTCGTCTCCTACATTGCAACATCTTGCTGTTCGGATCCTTAGTTTAACTTGCAGTGCTTCTGGATGTGAACGAAACTGGAGTGCTTTGGAAAATGTAAGTTCATAAATCTGCCTTTCATATTTAATTCAACTATTTAAGTTATCCGTAGTTGATTTGTTATCTACTTGTTTTAGGTTCAAAGCAAGAAAAGGACAAGGTTGCTGCCAAAAAAAATGAATGATTTGGTATACATTCGGCAGAATCAACGTCTTCAAGATCCAGCTTTCAAAAAAATGAAAGTATGTTTGGATGACATTGACGATTGCAATGAATGGATTGATGAAGCTGCTGAGCAAAATGAAATGGAAAACTGGGATGTAGTGGAAGAAGTTGTTGGTGTTAACGAAGCAAATCACAACACAAGAGCAACAACATCAAGGGCATCAACACTTCAGCTGCACGACGAAGAGGAGACAGAGAAGGCGGAGGAAATGGAGGAAACGGACGAGGTTGCAGATCCCTCCGAGGATGAAATGAATGAGGATGGTGTGCCATTGCTATCAGATTCAGACGAAGATGATGAAGAGTCTGATGATTGATGATGATTATGCCATAATCATCAAACAAAAACAAGCTAACAAGCCTAAATCCTAACATATTTTGCAAGACAAAAACTTTTTTTTTGAATATTATGTTTTTTGGAAGTACTTTGAACTATTTTATCATGTTTTAGTGGTTGGGTAAACTTGGGTAAACTTTAACTATTATTCGTTTTGATTTGTTTTTTTTTGTCACGTGGCGACGCCATATTTGCGCCATCGCCATCGCCATGGAAAATGACCTGTGCGCCATGGGTTGCGCCATGCGCCATGACAACCATGGCAGCATTTGCTTCATCCATCTTTATTATGTGCAATGAAGACTCGTGCAAAGATGTTATGATATAAGATGTCTTTGAACTACGAGGATAGTTGTTTTTTGAACTCCAATTGTCTTGCGAAGACCTCAACTGGACTATGTACTCTTCCTTAGAAGTTCGTTTGTTTATGTATGGGAATGAAGTTTTTTTCCCCTACCAAGTACAAAAGAATTTCATTGAGTGGTTTCATATAGCATTTAAATCTAGTAGAAAAATAGACTTTGACAAATGACAATGTGTATACTATTCATATTTCTACAGGACCCAAATTCCATAAGAGATTATGCTTCATTTGATGATTTTGTTAAAAAATCTATGGCATAGAGTTGGCGAATAAAGCTTTGGGTGACATTTTTAATTAATTTTACAATGTAGTTAATGTTTTTGGCAATAGTAAACAAATGCAAAAAACAAATTCAAAAAACAAATATATTTGGTTTCATTAAACGATAATTCAATTGGGCGGTATTGTGGATGATGTTACCTGTGATTCTATTTCCATGACTTGCCTGCTTGTCATAAGCAATAACTTTTCGGCGCACAAGCCAAACATTATTCCACTGACAGATCCTGTCTCATCTTCAATTGTGACATGTAATTTGGCCCTGTGCGAAGGATATAATATGATTTTTTGAGGAAAATGACGTATACTTATGTTGTATGGTGTAATACAAGTGGCGTACTTGCCTTGGAATGCCATAAGCATGTTGTTGACCGCAATTCATGCAATGAAATATTGCGTCACAACCAACGTATTTTAATTTGGCACAATGGCTACAAGCAACATACCAGAGGGTATAGTTTTCTAAAACCAAAGTGATTGTGCCTTTGATCCAAATAGGCCTTCCCTGTCAGTTTTTATGGATTACACAAATTAGAATGGATAAGCCACATAAATGTAATGGATTTGAAGTAATTTATATCACGGGTTACATAATTTTTTGGGTGATTTATTTCATACACCGTCAATGTTTTTTACAGTGTAAATGGTTATTAGAAAAAACATGTCATATAGGCATTGGGAGAAATAAAGTTTATAATAGCAACATACTTGAGGAATGATAGCAGGGACTTTAAACAATCTGATTCACATTAAACAATCTCTCATATAAATAATTTATAGAAATGATGCCCATAAAGAGTTTAATAAACATGTAACAATAAGTACATAGCCCAAGTACATAACACTAACATCTTATCTCCATTCAAAACAAAAATGAAGTGATCAGAATATCAGGTTGACCAGAAGCTCCCCTATATTATTCACTGAATTTGGTTTTGAGAGGTGTTGGATTGACGAAATTCCTAAACTTTTTTCTTACTGTTGTTTTTCAATCCTTATCAACTATGAGCTTTCTAGATTTTTTAAATCATATGTGTGCTGCGATTTTAAAATCAACTACGTATGCCAAATGTAAGGAAAACCAGCCACAATTTTGATAGCAACTTCATCCATCCTTAATGAACAGTGGAAGGCTACAAGCAGAGGTAGTTATTCTTATACTACCCTAGTGTATAAGAATAATTCATTAATAAATTTTCTCAATGTTTTTCTCTCTAGCACTAACATTTTAAGAAGATGAGCTGCTATGAACAAAAAAAAGTAAGACAACCAAAAATTACACCTGATGTAGACATACAAAAAGTAAACATTTATGGCTTCAAGTTTATAGACATTGAACATGCCAAACTGATGAAACTAAGCATATAACACATGTATGAATCTAAGCACATAAGGTATACAACCCAAAGAGACAGTCCGAGATGCTCAATCTCCTAAGCCGCTTAACATAATATAGCAGCCTGCTTCCATTCTCTATTCTTTTATTATTTATATCTTTTCTAATGTAATCGACGCAGGGATATAACAGCTAAATAACTAACTAACTGCAGTGACTGCACAATGATCTCATACCACCTTCGACCCGTAACACCCACAAAGAGTTTGTATAATATAGTAGCATGACATTATTATCACAAAACCAATCTGATTCTCATTAAACAATTTCTCATATTAATAATTTGTATAAGTGATGCCCATAAAGAGTTTAATAAACACATAACAAAAAGTACATAGCCCAAGTACATAACACTAACATCTAATTTATCGGTCTGAAGCCTTAGGTCCAAGTAATACAAACATATTATACTACCATAGTGCTAGCACTAACATTTTAAGAAGATCAGCGGCTATGAATTTAAAAAAAAGTAAGACACTAAACATTACACCTGATGTAGACATAAGAGTTAATTAAGTTAAATATGTTCTATTCATTTATGGCTTCAAATTTATAGACATTGTTCATGGCAAACTGACGAAACTAAGCATATAACATATGTATGAAACTTCCACTTTTGGAAAAAATATGTGGTTCACATTCATTTACTTTTTTCTTACACAATTACAACCATACATTTTCACTTTATTCTCACTACCTAAATCTGCGATACCGGTCAAAACCGGAAGAAATGACCGGGACGGAGGGAGTAGTAGTTAAGGACTTCAAAGCACAGGCAGAAAGAAAGGCAGTACAAACTCAAACATGGACAAAATACATACCGGGAAAGTGAGCGCAGGGGAGGAAAATCCTCTTCCAATTGAATAAGATGCAATTATAGGGCCATGGGAGGGAACGATCGAGGTTGGGGCGCGCCAATTGGAATTCCATAACCCGCACTGCAGAGGAGAGGACCTATTTGAAGTTACAAGGAGAGATTTATCGTTTCATAAAAGCGAGATTAATGAATAAGAAACCGTCTTTCAATTTTAACAGCATAACATACTAACTAAACACTACATAAGAATTAAATATGCAAATGAATAGAGGACACTTCATATGTATTTGTAGAGGGGAAAGAATTAAAAACAAACAAAAAAACAAAAAAGATAGTCAATGAGAAAGTAAAAACACAAGTACACAACGGCTACAAAAACAAAACATATGACATTAATTGGCATCAACTTCTCTCCATTACAGGCTTGGGCCCCACATTTTTAAAAACATTGATGGCACTCAACATGTTGAATGCATTCAGCTCTGTCATGGCACATGGCATCATATTGGATTGAACAACTGATTTGGCATTATAACATGGTGTTAACTAACCATTGTAGGTTCTCTAATAATTATATTATGAATTGATATGTCATGGAAATGAAAAGTCAAAACCACGACAGCATATCGGAGCTCAAGAATGGTATTCTTAAAGGATTTCAAATTTCTTGAAGAGGATATGACTATATGAGCCTCAACATTAAAAAAAGGTGTGACAGTTGGACAAAATTGTGTTCAATCACAATGATAGCGGAATAAGAATCATCCCCACACCTCCTACAAAACACTTTCCCTCACTATTTAATAAGCTAAGGAGCTAAGATAAAAGAAACGATTCCCATTGTCCTGCAGTATCTGGAAACATTGAAAAGAATATCCCTTAGCCATTTAAGTAGGGTCAAAGACATACATTCTTATCATATGTACTACTTCCATATTCAACAAACAGCAGACTATTGAAGGTTGGAACTAAGCATTGCTGCATAAAGCATGCGCCCATTTGTCAAACTACAAACAGGATCTTCACACGCTAATTGAAGAAAACCATAGATATCCCAATTTGAACACTCAGAAACATTTTTCCTCTCATATCGTTGACTTCAAAAGCATCTAACCAACCAAAGCTTAAATCTTGAATTTCAAGAGTATTTGTATTTGCAAGAACAAGAGAAGAGAGAAAAGAAATGGACCTGCAATGAATAATTTTGCAGCCTTCGATGCGTTCGACGAAATGAAGGCACCTAGGGCAGCGCGACCACCTTCTCTGCTCAGCAAGCACACCGAAAGCTACGTCGTTTACATCCCTCAGTTCCCGGCTTTCCTCGCAACGGAAGCCGGCGTGCCAAGGAAGCTTGCAGTGGAAGCAAAACAGCCTCTTGCAATTGGGGCAGTTGGAGCGCCTCACATTCCCGCCGCACTCGTTGACGATCAGTGTGGAGCAGTCACGGTTGGGGCAGTAACAGCGGTCCAATTCCAGCACTGTGGCCTCACAAAGCACGTCGCACCATTTCACAAACAGCTGGGGTGCAAGTAGGGTCCGGCATGAAATCGGGTCAAGAAATTCGGAGCAATCGAGAGCAGGACACTGAATTGTGGCGGCGTTGTCTTCAAGCTTCACGGAGATATACTTGAGGATAGAGATGGAGCAAGAGAAGGAACCTGCTTGTGCGGCTCAGCGTATGCGGCTAAAGTTGGGCAGGTGGGGGGAAGGGTAATAACGGAGGTAGCGGAGTCCGAACAATGTACGGGAGATATAAGGTAGACTAATTGCAAAGTTTACCAACATTTAAGCATAATGTACATGTCAAAACAGCTCATAGGACTACCAACAAAAAATCTATATACCCAATACAGGTCAACTTCCATTCACCTTTATTAGTTTGTAGAGATAGAGATAATACTCCCTCCGTTTCTAAAAGAAACTCACACTTTCCTTTTTGAGAAGTTTCAAAAACAAAGTTACACTTCTCTTATTTCCTTATTTCGCAAAGAAATTTACGTCCAAACAATGTCAAACAGTGTCAAACAGTGCCAAACAGTGTCTACAGTAAAGTCAATTTATTTCCTTAATAATCGTGAAGTCAATCCATGACTTTCTTTTGGAAACGGAGGGAGTACTCTCTTGATCATATGCTTCGTACTAATTTCTAAAAGTTCTGTTAAAGCTAAAATGCAAATTCAAAGATATCAAAGGGTTGACCAGTTGACAATGTTGAAGAGCTCAAATAATAAGGAATAGATAGAGTGTAAATTTAATTAGTAGAAATTTAGTATGCTCTATCAAATTACTCCGTGAACATGGGGCTTTTTCTTTTCACAAACAAAAAGCATCTTCGAAACACGAAAACGAAAACCATATATCACCGGAGAAACTAAAAAAGACCCGGAGAACGTAACCATATAGTATTGAACTTCTTCGGGCATGATAAAAATTATAAACCTAACCCGGCCCCTTGTGCGTGTGTGTGTAGTAGACACTAGCTAGAGGGAGAGAAATAGAGAGAGACGACGGAGCAAAAGAAGTACCTACAGACTTCAGATCTATGGATTCAGCTTCAACTGGCTAGTTGATTCGGCTGACCAAAAGAACGAACGAGAAGCTAGACAGCTTCTATTAAGTGAAGAATGACTTTGGAATGACTTTATTAGGAAAAGAGAAAACTCTCAAATAGTCTCTCCTACTTTGGTCAATTTCTCAATTAAGCCCTCGCACTTTATAATCACCCATTGGAGCCCCCGAACTAACCAAACCCATCCAATCAGGCTTTTTAGTCGGTGGAGTGCCGGTTAGCCCGTTTCACGCTGACCTGGAATCCCTCGTGTCCCTCACTCACCGGGTACTTAACTTGACGTGGCTACTCCGTCCCTTTTAAAACTAATCACTCCACACTACAGGTAGTTAAGAACGTTAGACCTGATTTGTGTAAGAACGGGAGGTAGTTGCAAAGCGGGTTCAACCAAAGTGCAGTGTTCTTTTTTAATGTAAAATATTCATTAAAACGGCGGAAACATTAATAAAAGTGTTCAAGCCATACTTGGCATACTTAGACATACAAACCCCAAAATAATTATTCAGGAAATAATATCCATGAACATTATTGTAATCGTTTTGAAAACAGAAACGGAGGAAACACAAACCAAGTCTTCTCTCCAAGATCCTCCCGAAGCAAGGGGCATGGGTAGCAAGTTCTAATTTCTAACATAAAATGCATGTTTCAATAGCAGTTAATCTTGATGTCTTTCATGTCTCCCAAAACGTCCCTTTCAGATGACCTTATGTATCTGTAAATGGAATTTATCACCAGTCAGCTGCGTCGTTTTACAAGAATAGCTTTGCGGGTACCGCCGCCGCACGCTTTTGAATCGCCACTCTTTCTCAGTTTTCATTCAATGGAATCTCTGTTCACCGTCCTCCTCGTCCGCTTTTTGAACATCTCATGCGATGTAACAGCCCATTACAAGTTCGTTGTTGCAAAGCGGGAGTTCAATCGAAGAGGTATTGTGTGTCTGCGTTTACATTTTGTGTATTTTTTTCCTTTGGTCGTTGATGATGCACTGTTGCCTTGAAGTGTTTACTGTTGATTTTGTGATTTTTGGTTGAATTATGCTTTAAGAACCCTAAACCTGACCTTTTGGAGTAAGTGGAAACCTGTGATGACAGAACTATAAACCTAAAACTGACCCATTTTGTTGATATATATGTAGGATGTTTGAGACAATAGAACTAGTAATACACCATGGGGGGGATTTAGTTGTGATGCAGAGAAGAAATATGTTGGAGGGGTAGTTGAATGTGTACCTGCAGATCCTGATGTCATAAGTTATCCCCACTTGAAGAAGTTCTTAGAAGGTCATAGCAAAGGCTCCATTACATGTCTATACTTCAAAACAGTAAGTGCCTCTATGAATTCCATACAAAAGTTGTTTGATGATGAGACTGCATTACAGCTAATAGAATTAGCAAGAAATTGTGGCAAGTGTGAGATATATGTAGATCATGCACAGGATGTAGGTGACCCAGAATGTGATGATGAACCAAATGCTAGAACTGAGGATCTTGGTGAGGCAGAAAGTGATGATCATGAAGGTGATGAAGATGAAGTTAATGATGATACAGATGTTGGCAGTGATGCCCCATGTGATGAAAGTGATGTTGAGGGCCTACATTCTGAAGCAGACAATGAGGATGAAGAAGAAGAGGTGCTACATGATGTGGAAGTTCGGAGCAATAGTTCCACACCATTGACAGATGAGGGAGTTCCTGAAATGGATGTTATACACACATCTTAGCATGGGCTTGAAACTGATAATGAGGAAGGTACTTTTGAATATGACTCCTCTAATCCACCTAGATTACATTGAGAAGAGGAAGATAAACCTAAGTTAAAAGGCCAGGTTCTGGGAATGGTTCCTACGACCCATAATTTGATCCTCCCCATTTTAAGATGGGGATGTTGTTTGAAGATGGAAAGCAATTTAAAAGTGTCATGGTTAGGTATGTTGTGCATAATAAGATAGATATAGTATTTGTTAAGAAAGAGCCATTCAGAGTCAGACTTAAGTGTGCCATAAATTGCTCCTTTGCAAGTACTGCTTCATTGGAAGATAGGCTGAAATGCTTTCAATCGAAAGTATAGAACCCATACCATCTTTGTAACCTAAAATTCAAGCTTAGAATAGTTAGTCAGAATTGGATAGCTGATACTTATGAGGACAAAATTGCAGAAAACCCCTCCATGACAGCTGCACATCTTAAAAACTTGCTTAAGGAGAACATACACAACAAAAGCCCCACATGAGATGCTGCCACATATCTATTGATATGTAGGGGCTCACATTATGAAGATACGGGTTGTTAAGAATAATCTTAAGAGTAATGAAATACCAGTTAAGGATTGTTCGAAATTGTTGATAGAATCAAACCTAAGGTTTGGAATGTATGTACTTGAATAGACTTGAAGTGTGAGCTATGATTTAGTGTGGAGCTAAGATCAAGTGAGGGGCAGTCCATAGGGATGCCAAAATCTAATTTAACGTTATGACGATTCTAGGCATAATAAGTGCCTAGGAATTGGGGTCTATGCCAATGTAAGTTTATGTACTTGAGCAGGAGCTCTAGAATTGCATTGGGTAGATATAGCAATTGGGGTCTATGCCAATGTAAGTTGATGTACTTGAGTAGAGGCTCTATAATTACATTGGGCAAATATAGGAATTGGGGTCTATGCCAATGTAAGTTGATGTACTTGAGTAAGAGCTCTACAATTGCATTGCGTAGATATACGAATTGGGATCTATGCCAATGTAAGTTTATGTACTTGAGCGGAGCTCTAGAATTGCATTGGGTAGACATATGAATTGGATCATGATGATGAATTATAATTTAGGCTCTATGATTGCCTAGAAACGTAGTTGAGTCGAGTCCTTACTATACAATTGTGATGTGTTGAACTCTATGAGTTGTCGTGACTCAGAGACACAGGGAATGGGAATGGTAATTTCTAAATGAACAGGGGTCCACGGACCGACTTCTTGACCTATATATAAAGTAAGTATATTTTGAAAAGGGGTAGCCTGGGGTTACGACCTATATTATGTTATCACTCTAATTGAGGGTCTTGTGTTTGAAATACTTGTTGTATATCTATTAGATGACATCCACACCAGTACTTTATAGCCCTATATAGTACTGACCCCTTCGGGGGCATCCCACCACCATTCCAGGTTGAAACTTGAGCTTGCTGCATGTGCCTGTTGCTTCGGGAAGATCAAGGAGGAAAGATCTGGTTCATGCTTCCTCTGTTTCTGATTTTTTTAAACAATATTAATAGTGTTCATGGATATTATTTTCTGAATAATTATTGGGGCTTGTATGCCTAAGTTTGCCAAGTGTGGCTTGAACACTTGTATTAATGTTTCCGCTGCTTTAATGAATATTTTACATTATGTTTGTTTATGGATATTATATGTGTGAATGTTATTCGAGATGCCTTGTATAATATGGATTTATTGGACTGCGGTTGACTATTTGTATTGTATGGCGGATTGTTGACGTGTCCAGGTAGGTCCGGGGCGTGACATTAAATATATTGTCAAAGACGTTCTTCTCAATGTGCATGACATCTAAATTGTGATGAATAAGAAGGTCTTTCCGATGTGGCAACTCCCAAAATATATTCTTCTTTGTCCACTTATGAGTATTACAATACTCATATGGCTCCTTCTTTGGCTATTTCACAACAGTAGGAATACGTCGAACCTGGTTAAAAATTTGTTCGCCTGTCAGTCTCGGGGGTGGGGGGTCTCGTACCACACTATCTCTAATGAAAGACTTTTTGTCCCTTCGATATCGATGGTTTGCCGGCAGAAACTTGCGGTGACAATCAAAGTAACTTGGTTTTCCACTCAAACTGAGCCAATTGGCACCTGATTTCTCCATACATATCGGACATCCCATATGGTTGCATAGGCAGGGAAGTTGCTAATGGTCCAAATGATGGCAGCTTTCATGATAATCATTTCATCTCTTGAAACATCATAAGTTGGTGTTCCAACGGCCCAAAGTTCCTTCATCTACTCGATAAGGGTTGTAGATAAATGTCTATCCTTTTTCCAGGATCCTTGGGACCCGGACAAATTAAAGTAAAAAAGATGAAATGATGACTTTTCATGCACATGTCGGGAGAGAGATTATAAGGAGTTAACATGACTGGCCAACATGAAAATTTCTTCCCAAACCTTCCAAAAGGAGCAAATCCGTTTGAACACAATCCCAGTCGCATATTCTGTGGCTCCACTGCACACTGAGAATGACAACGGTCAAAGTGTCTCCAAGCTCCACAGTTCGAAGGGTGAGACATCAAACCCTCTTTGGTTTCGTGCTCAACATGCCATGTCTTGTGTTTCGCAGTAGCATTCGAAGCATATATCCTCTTCAGTCGTGGAGCTAGTGGGAGGTAAAACAATTTAGATAATGCAGATATTTTTCGTGGTTTTTTCCGTCTTTGAGGATCAAGTTTGTATCTGTCTCCACCACAGAACTTGAAGCTCTCAAGTGTCTCATCATCCTAAAGGGCACACGTCAATTTCTATATAAGGAAACCCCAACTGAGATATTAATTGCTTCATGTTGTAATATGAAACAGGGAGGTTATGGTGACGCGGTAGCATTCTTCATACTGATTGCAATAGTCTAGACATGCAAGTTTCAGGAAGACTGTATTCAGCTTCTATGTTCATCAACTCTGAAACGGCGGATAGCTGAGAGTATCCATCACAATCAGCATATAGAGGTTGATCAACGGCTTTTAAAACATCTTGAAATCTCTCAGCTAAACCTTCAATATGAGGAACATGAGAATTCAGATCTTCATCGACATCATGTTGATAAAAGATCGGATTTTCATCCGCATCTGGTTGATACGAGGTCGAGACTTCAAGAGGATCGTTAAATGGTTGTGGGGGATTAAACTGAGACGTCGAGGCACCGAATGCATTATATACCATTCTTTGATCCCAATTCATTTGAGCATAGTCTCCCCACCCACTCATCTCGTTAGGGACGTTACGAGACGAACCTACTGTTTGTGGTAAAAGGGATGGATCGAAAGGTTCGCCATGAGAAGTCCAAT